GTATGTGATAAATACTATTAATACAAAAAGTAAAATGTGTTGATTAGCTCATGCTAGCCTGTTGTTTACTTAAATAATCCAACTTTCTATGATCTTTCTCTCAAATCCATCAGAATTTGAAGACAACATCATAATAAGAATTAGAAACAAACATGCCTTAATAGTTCAGTTGTACTAGTTTTTTTTTTAATTTGGTATAAACTATGCACAGTATTTTCTTGTTTACATGAATGTAGACTTTTCATTTGTCCTGATGGGTAAAAATAATAATAAACAATCAAATTCACTTTATATTTTTTAGTTTTATAATGTCACCTCCACTGGCCAGGAAAGGTTCCTGAAAAGGCCTCGAAAAGGCCCACGGACCACCATTTGATAATCATAGTTTTAGCTTGTTTTGCTGCTCCAGACACATTTTATTAGTGCGTCGAGTAGCAGAAATGGCTCTTTTGATAGTGAAGGTTGCAGACCCCTGCCCTAACCTATTGGAAGGCCACAACATACAACCTTTGGAGGGCGGGGTCTTTGGTGCTAACCATGTCAGTTGCTCTAAGTTAACCTTAGTGGCTTTAAGCCTTATATTAACCCGTTTTTTTAAGCCTCATGTTAACCAGATAGTGGTTTTATGCCTCATGTTAACCAGATAGTGGCTTTATGCCTCATGTTAACCAGATAGTGGTTTTATGCCTCATACTAACCAGCTGACAATCGGAAACCATTCAATGGGACGGGGAACCTGCTAACGGGCACAGGTGGGACATTCTGAAGCCATTCTATGGGACTGATAACGCCTAATAACGTCCATTTCATGGATGATAACATCTGAAGCGAGTGCGGGCGACGAAAGCGCCGACGTGGCAGCAAACAAGATTCTTGGCTTGGCATGAGACAACAGTAAGCAGAGAACAAGGATCTGACAAAGACTGAGGACAAAGGACAGAATATAAAGGAATAACTAATGAGATAAAACAAGAAACACCTGGGGAAGAAACATGAGGATCAGGTGTGAGTGGGCGGGGCTAGAGCAAAGGCAGACAGGAGGAAGAAAACAGGAGGAAAAGACAGAAAACTTAGAATAAATCATAAGCACAGACACAAATTATGACATGGTGTGTAAAAATGTGCAAATAAACATATTATTTATATTCTATACATTTCTTTTTTTAATATATTAATTTCTGGTGCCTGGTGGCTACTCACATGCCAGCTGGACTTTGGCCTTGCGGCTGACCAGCAGGCCGAAGCGGTTTTGGGCGGCACAGTCGTACTCGCCCATGTCGGCGTCACTACCCTCTCTGCGCTTCTGAAACCTCTGGATCAACAACGTGCCGTTTTCCAGTACCCGTACCCGTGGACCCGTGGCTAAAGGAACTCCGTTCTTACGCCACGTCACCATGATGGGTTTCTCTCCCTGCACCTGACAGTCCAGCAGGAGCGGCTGGTCTCTGACTGCAATCACATCGCTGGGCTCCAGCAAGAAGGACAGCTCTGAGGCCAAACCTGTGCAGGGAAAATAAAAACAACAACATTTAGGAGAAGTCACAAACTGCTTATTACTAACCTGCTGTTTGTTGTACTGTTAGACACAGTTTTCTATAAACTGTGGGAAATAACGAAAGATCCACAAAGGACTGGACAGAACTGTGACACAATCTTGACC